TCATTTAAAATGTAATTAACTATAGGAGCTTGCCTGTATATGAAACCTGCCTATCTAATTTTTTTATGTTAGGTAGGGGAACTTGTTGGCCTTTTTATAAAATATTTCGCAGACCAAAACTGATGTAAAAATTTTTTTAGTCTAGGTGATTGAATTCCTATTACAAGTGATATATTTATTCTTCGAGATAAGAGTATTACTTGTAGTATTGTATTCAATCATCTAAACTATTTAAAATGTGAGACCCGTTTAGTCTCACCTATTTTAAAATTAAAATGTTACTTTTAAAAATAAAAAAAAAAGTTATATTCATAGTTAAATTATTTTCAAAATCACAAAATCATCACTTTTTCAAAGCACAAAGTTAAAACGACCGACATGCACTAGTGAAGATATTGAAGTCTGATAATGGGACGAACTAACAAGAAGTTTGGAGAATACCTGTCAGCCCAAGGGATATAGCATCAAATCACATATCCATACATATTGATACAAATCGGAGTAGCAGAGAGTAAGAATAAACACTTTCAAGAGATAACTTGAAGCATAATGATCTCAATGAATTTCCCAAAGCACTAGGTGGGGCAAACAATTTTGACAGCCTTCAATAGTGTTGGAGTGGCAATCTCCTTGTATGTTTTGGAAAGCAGATAATAGCGGGTTCTTCCAAATGAAGGTATTTGGTTGTGTATTTTTATGAAGGATAATAGACCATAAATAGGGAAGTTGGATCTCAGAGATGTGACGTGTTTTTGTGCGTTATTTTGCTATCTAGAAATTGTATGTTTGTTGAAGCCCAATAAAGAAGTGAATGTTTGTGCGTATGAATGTAACTCTTAGAGAATTAGAATAGTACTATACCTTGGAGATGACCTCACTCTTTGGTGACTCGCCATATACTAGAAGTATCAAGCGAGAGGGGAGAGTAATGATGGTGAGAGATTAGTACGTGTGGGAATGATGCCTTGTCCAATTGTTAAGGAAGGATCAACTGGGGAGGATCCTAGCCCCGTTGTGATGGAAGGATCATCTTTATAAGGGCAAAAAAATGAGCAAAATGAGCTCAAAGCTGATGAAATTTAAGCTCAGGGGGAGCTAAGAGTGTATACAAGGAGGTAGGAGGGAACACAACCTGCAATGTCAGTTGTGCCATCAAGTTTCTTTTCCCGATCATTTTGGTTTCCCACATGGCATGGCTTAGTTTATCTTATACTGTAATCATTGTATCTTTGAACACTGTCTTTATATCCAAATGTTAGCAAGTAGCTAAAGAAGATCCAAAGTGATAGACTGTCATGCAGGAGGAATTTGGTGCTCTCAATAAGAACAAATGTGGGAGCTCGTGTTGCTACCAACATGGAAAGAGGCAGTCGGGTGCAAAAGGGTATTTACAATGAAGTAGACTTTAGAAGGAAAAAGTGATCGCTGCAAAGCATGATTGGTGGTGAAAGGATATGTCAGCATATGACATCGATTATGATGAGACATTTGCACCAATGCTGAAGACGGGCACCGTCCCTGTGAATAGTGGATGGAAGTTACACCC